ACCTTTTTTATTTAGATTTTTAAAATTTTTGCATGACAAAACATATAAAATTACTCAAATATGACTTATGTATTTACATACTTCTAAACATTACAATAATATCAACATAAAAATAAACTCACCTTTTTTTTTTCATTGCTTTTGTACTTTCACTTATTTAGGAGTTAGACAATGTATCTCTCACATCGAAAACAATTTTTGGATGTGAAAGGGTATCATTTGATTTTTTTTTCTTCACATTTGTAGGATTCTATCATTAAAAAATTAAAAAAAAAATCATTTCATGTGTACTTTAATGTAGAAAAAAAATATTGGACGTGTTAAAATAATTCTAATTTCCTATTCTTGTTTCTTCAAGTTAACATCATTTTTTATGAGAGCATTCCCTCCTATTATGGCCATGTAAACCACACGCTAAAACAAGTCATTTTAATATTTTTCTAAAAAAGCTTTTTACTATCCCCATTTCTAACTTCTTTTGTCTTATGTGCTGGTTTCATCCTTTTCACTTTTGGTATTCCTTTGTTCTTCTTAAATGGTGGTGGCTCAGCCTCACACCTTTCTATTGCCTCCTTGTCTCAGGTTTTTTTTTTTATGTATTAATGAAATACCAATATACTTTAAGATATGTATTCCTTTTATACCAACGTGCAACACCATCTTCATAGTTAACTTTACAAGCATACATTGTACAAATGGCATAATAGCATGGTATTCCAATACCTTGCCACTTTCCACAATTACAGTCCCTCTTACTCATATTTACAACAAACCTCCAATCAACCTTAGAAACCTCCTACTCATCAGTCCCATTTCCTTTTGCACTCCAAGTCGTAGTCTCATTAACATTTTCTTTTAAAATAATTCTAATTCTATGTGCAATAACACCATCCCATAAAGATGCAGAAACTTTTTTTTGTTTTTGATCAGTCCATCACCATGTGTCTAATATTTTCTAACATAAAAATAATAGACTTGCATCTAGCTTCTAGAATTCACGCATTAAAAACCTCAAACAAGTTTTATCAACAATTTCACACTTACGGTCATCATCAAAAAATGCCCCCACCCAAGAGTTATCTAACTATTCAAAAATGCAATCAAAACCAGCTGGACACTTCTCAGCAAATTGAGGGGGCACTATCTGATAGGAACATAAATGCAGGAGTTTTATGCTCCAGAGACAAATAAAGGGCCCATTACAGGCTTCCTTGTCCAACGATAATGATGGGTTTTCAAAGGCTGGACAATAATGGGTTTCAAAGGCCACTGTCTCATTGGGCCTATCTCCGGGTTTTGTCCGGCGGATTGATAGTCTTTTTCCTAAAACTTATTAAGGTGCTGTATAGCAGTTAGCTGTTAGCACAAAATGAATAGGAAGTAACGTTTAATGAACAGTAAATAGTAATAATGGATAATGGATAATGGATCTTGTTTATAATAATTGTTTGATTATATATTAATTAGTAATTTTTGTTTGATGTTAAATAAGAAGTAACGTTTAATGAATAGTAGATAGTAGGTAGTGGTAGTGGATAATGGATCTTGTTTATAATAATTGTTTGATTATATACTAATTAGTAGTTTTTGTTTGATGTTAAAATAATTGTTTGATTATATATTAATTAGTAGTTTCTATTTGATATTAAATAACAAATAAGAACAAAATTAAAAAATAGCTAATTTTATTTTTTTTAATTCTTAACTGTAAAAAAATTTTATTATATTATTATTGCTGTTGTTTGTTATTATTATTATTATTATTATTATTATTATTATTATTATTATTATTATTATTTATAAATGAAACATTCCTTTGTTATTTTTAATAAAAAATTAATTTTAAAATTTTAAATACTAAATACAAGGCAAAAATTACAGACTTTCTTATAAATTAATCTATCATAATGGCTTAGCAAATTTTTATTAAATTGGAAAATTAGTTATGAAATAAATAAAAAAATAAAATTGAACAAGTTAATGTTAAAATCATTCATCTCTGTGGAGCATTCATATTTTTTCTAAAACTGACATCATTTTTTTTTTATTTTGATTGCACAATATGAGGTAACAATTTCTCATTCCTTATCCCATCACACATGCATGTCATGTGACTTGAACTCAAGATCTCTTACTTTTAGTGAGAGAAGATAATCACTAAATTATTTAGGTCGTAGGCAAAACTGACATCATTTTAAAAATCTCCAATCCATACTTTGTTTTCAACTCAATACAACTGCTAATAAATGTGTTTTTATCCATCTTAAACATATTAATGCATCTTTTTTTATTTCTTTAAATTAGTTTTAGCAACCACGTGTACTCAAATTGAAAAGAATCCATACAAAATTCTTTATCTATATAATTTAAACAGCACCCACTTATTACTCCAACAATTGAAACTATCATATTACATTCCATATTATCTTCTTCAATCAGTGCCTTGTATATGACATCTACATCTACATCTACATCTGTATCCATATCCAAATTCACGTCCATTTTTGTGTCTATGGAAGAAAAAAAAAAGACAAATAAACTATAAAAAAGAGACAAATATTTAAGTTTAATTAAAATAAAATAAATATAAATAAATTTTAACTAAAAAACATCAATGTCATAAACATGACACTAGCTCCAAATAAGGAGGTAGTAGCCAAATATTAAATTGATAAATGTTTAATGTTTAAGATATAGCCTCTAGCCCAATTAAGAAGTCTAAATTAACATAAAGAAGTCTAATTTGGCATTGAAATGCCACTTTTCACATGCCATAATGGTACTATAGATGAGTTTTTGTTCTTTGGTCTTCATGGCAACATAAGTTTCTCTTCTTATTTTTTTCTCAAAAAAACTTGCACTTAATAAATATAGTTCACAACTAACATGCATATTTGGCAAAGTGAGTACGTCACTCAAGACTTCTTCAATACTTCTACCAGGTTTGTCCCCAGATATAGCTGCCATAGTAAATGTTCGATTAGCCATAGTTTTTTGCACCTTCTTTAAGTTGATTAGTTATCAACACTACACTAGTACTTGGCAACTTCTTTCTTTTATTAGAGTTCTTTATTTGCTTTGAGTGTGAGCTAGTCATCCCATCATTCCTGTTTTGTTTCTTTCCAATTTTCCTAGAATTCTCATCCACATTATTATTTTTTGAGCTTTGCCCATTCAACCCATTATCCACGATTGCATCTAAATTATGATAAAGTTTTCTTCCTCTAAATCAATAATAGTACCTCCACCATCTTCTTTTTCTATTTCTATCTCATGATTCTCATCAATTTCATTAGGTAATTGCCCAAGGGAAGGAGCATATGCATAATTTCCTTTTGCCACATTATCAAACAACAACTCATATTTATGAAAAAACTCCTTTCCTATACCTTTCTCGTGAAATTTTTCATATTCTAGATTTTTCTAAAACATAACCCAAATTTGTTAGTTACTATTAGTTGACCACTAAGATTGTTTTAGAAGGAATTGTTTAATTATCAAATTATGCATTTACCTATATCATACCTTTCCAAACCTCTAGAGGAGCATCTATTATCCTTGTAATATGATCCCAACTTAACCCAATATTGTTATTTTCTATTAAATCTTTCCATAATTTCCACTAGTCCCTCATCCAATCCCATTTGTTTTTCAATTGCCCTTGTAAAAAAGATATCCCTACTATTTCTACTTCATAGTGTACCCATTGCAAACCAAACTCACCCTATGCGGTTCCCACCTTGTTACCCAAGGGGTTGCCTCGGACACAAATGTCAAAAAATGTGTCCAATTGTTCAGGTTTCCAAATAGCCCTCACTGTAGTGTTACTTCCTTAAAATTTTTTCTTGCAATTCATCTAATATGTTTAAATTTAATTAAAACAAAAATAAAATAAAATAAAATGATCAACAATAATGGAGTGAAAGTTTCCTATGCCTAAGTCACACCAAAATTTAAGTCTACACCAACAAATTGAAATTTAAAGAGATATTAATGTGGACATTCACAACGTTAACCACTCTAATTAGCTCAATCACCAAAACCAATATCTCAAACAATATTCAAGTTGCACTACCTAATCACTTACTCAAATATATGAACAAATTAATTGAATATTTGATCAAAACATATCAACAAATTGGACATTCTATATAAGTCAATAATCAATATATTAATATTACATATCATCATAGCAGGAATTACAATTGATCAATTAAGGTAAATTTGGCAAAAGCATAGTCAAACTACCCATCAATTTAATAAATCAATGATGGCAAGTGTAGAAGAAGAAAACATACCTTGACTTGAAGGTGGCCTTAGGTTTTCCCACATCTGAAAAGAAGTAAATTAAGAAGGTTGTGCCACTTAGATTTTTATTTTATACTTAATTATTTTATAGGTAAATTTGTCATAATAATTCAAAATTTTCAATCTATTAGCAGTTTGGGACAAAAAGCTATTTTCAAAAGTTCTTTGAATTCGCTAGTGAATTGGGCTCTAAGCACTCATCATTACCATTAAATCGCTAAACAAAAATTTTTACCAAACACCAAATACATAACGGTTTGTGGGGAAAAAAAATTAACAAACACTTTTATGTAGCAGTTTGGACGAAATCGTTAAATATTACTCTTAAACCGCTAACTGTTACTCTCAAACTGTTATACCAAATAGTCCCTAAATTTTGATATAATAAAACCATAATACATGTTGAAGACATATACTAATACTAAAGACGTATATTAATACTATGAGGTTTCCAAGTTATACATATACTAATACTAAAGACGTATACTAATATTATGAGGTTTCCAAGTTATCATCCAAGTCCCATGCCAGTTCAAGATTCTCCCACAAATCCCATTTTATACCAAAAAAGATTCTATGTGAATGACTAAACGCTTTTATATGGAGGTAGTGATTGAGGGTTGAAGAGCAATCATTGATGTTGATTTTGCTTCTAATGATTCAAAGGCTAGATGTTGAAATCAATGCAATGCTAGACTTTCTTTCACGTAGGATTGGCCATGCTTGTTTTGTTAGAAGTGGTATTTGCATTGTAACTCTCCTCAATTAATGTGGTAGGTGTATTTAATAGTTGGTTGAGAGGTTAAGATATGATATTTAGACTACAAAATGCAGCTAAAAGAAAATGGTGCAAATTTGTCAACTCTACAGAAAACATGTATTAAATGTAATTCTCTGTACGGTTGAGGGGATACTAAGCAATGTAATCCCTCTTTTTATTTAAGCTGCACTTGTATGAAATATAAGTAGTGGAAAAAGATGAAATGAATGAGATAAAGGATGGAAAAACGAAAATCCAGACCTATATTTTTCATCAAAGTCTTTTGCTGAGTTCTTGTTCTTAAATCTTCTTCATCCAAAAATCCATCAATTGGTATCAAAGCTTGTCTTCTTAAGGGACGTGTGAGAACAAAACAATGAGAGGTGTGTGTGAAAGAGAGTAAACACGAGAGTAAGTGAGGAAGAGAAGCTGTGCTAGTAAAGAAACACAACCATGGCTACAAACAACACCAACAGGATCTTTTTCCAATCCTCCTTTGTTCACAGGCCAGAACTACAACATGTGGGCCATCAAAATGAAGACATTCCTAAAAGGCAACAGTGTGTGGGACTTAGTACAAAATGGCTTTAATCCTCCCAAGCTACCAAACAACCCAACTATAGCACAGTTGAAGCAACATGCAGAATATGTTCAAAACTCCTACAAAGCCTTTTCATGCATCCATAATGGAATAGTAGACTCGATCTTTCTGAGAATCATAAGGGCAGAAACAGCAAAAAGTGCTTGGGATACTCTTTAAAAAGAGTTTGAACGTGACAACAGAGTGAAAGACAACAATCTACTTACACTAAAAAGGCAGTTTGAAATGTTAACCATGAAAGAGACAGAGACAGTGCATCAGTACTCAACCAAGTTGATAAACATCGTCAACCAAATCAGACTTCAAGGTGAAGATTTTCCAGATAAAAGAGTTATTGACAAGATAATGGTTAGTGTACTAGACAAGTTTGAATCAAAGATCTCAGCAATAGAAGAGTCTAATGACTTGAATCAACTTATCATTAATGAGTTCATTAGCAAGCTAAAAGCTCATGAGAAAAGGCTGTCTATTAAAGGTGTCGAAGTTCCTGAAAAAGCCCTTCAAGCAAAGGAAAAAAGGAAGCAAGCAATAGAGACACCAGACTTTTCAAAATATGAAAAGGAAAAGATGTTAGATAACTCAGGTCAACAAAGCTATCAACCTTTGCAAGCAAGAAGAGAGAGATTTCCTCCTTGTAGACACTGCCAAAAAACCAACCATGAAGAAAGGAGATGTTGGTTTAAAAGAAAATCTCAAATCCAGTGCAAATTTTGCAAAAGATATGGCCATGTGGAGAGAGATGGTTGAGCTAAACAAGCTTGGCGAACTCAATAAACACAACAGCCTCAATACAGACCAAAGCAACAACAGAAAGCAAAGTATGTTGATGAACATGCACAACAAAATTACTCGTTTGTAGCTTCCTTGAGTAGCTCTTCAACTTCTGCCAGTTCTTGGTATATTGATAGTGGTTGTACAAGCCACATGGCTCGAGATGAAAGTATTTTCTTAGACCTAGACAAATAAGTGAAAACAAGTGTCAAGCTTGGAAATGACACTATGGTTTTCTCACAAGGAAAGGCAACAACAACAATCCCAACAAGTTCAAGTACTAAGCTAATTTTAGATGTGTTATTTGTGCCCAGCTTGAGTCAAAATTTGTTGTCTATTGCTTAGATGATGAAGAAAGGCTATTCTTTGTCATTTAAAAATGATTTTTTGCTATATTCATGACTCATTTGGAATGGAGGTTGCTAGAGTTAAGATGGTCCAGAATAGTTTTCTTTTGGTTAAACCCCCATTTTGGTCCCTCAACTATCGTACGGACCCCCGATTTGATCCCTCAACTCAATAAATCCCTGATTTGGTCCCTACTGTTTACCATTTTGACCCCAACTTGGTCCTTCCGTTAAAAAACCAGTGACGTGTCCTGTTAACTAACGGGACCACAATGACATATCAACATAATGTGACACGTCAGATGCATACCTGAAAAAAAAAAAAACAACACGATAAAAAAATGATGACATGGAAGAAAATAATATATTAAAAAACTTAAAAAATTATTTCTTTTTCTTTTTTCTTCTCTTTTCCTTTCTTTTTCTTTTTTCTTCTCTTTTCCTTTCTTTTTCTTTTTTCTTCTCTTTTCCTTTCTTTTCCCCTTGCAACCCAGCGCCTACTGGGTTCCTTCGAACCGAGGCGTCCTGGTTCCACGCCTGGGTTCCAAGGAACCCAGGGCTTGGGTCTCGATGGAACCCAGGCTCTGGGTTTCTGAACCCAAGCGTCCTGGGTTCAGGACGCTTGGGTTCCATCGAGACCCAGGCCCTGGGTTCGATCGAACCCAGGCTCTGGGTTTCCCAGGCGTCTTGGGTTCGTTCGAAACCCAGGGTGCCTGGGTTCGTAAACAAACCCAGGGTGCCTGGGTTCGTTCGAAACCCAGAGCCTGGGTTCGATCGAACCCAGGACGCTTGGGAAACCCAGGCTCTGGGTTCGTTCAGAACCCAGGCTGCCTGGGTTCGTTCGAAACCCAGAGCCTGGGTTCGTTCAGAACCCAGGCTACCTGGGTTCGTTCGAGAGCCTGGGTTCGAGCAAGAGCAAAAAATTAAAAAAAAATTCTCTTTTTTTTTTCTGTGGATTTGGTTGGTTGATGATGATGAAGAAGGCAAGGCAAGATGAGGAACTCGGAACTGGGAAAAATAAAAAAATTCTTTTTTTTTTCTGTGGATGCTTGTTGAGGAACTGGAGAGCATTGTTGTTCTAGGTTGAATGGGTTTAGGGAAGAAAGGGGGAGAATGGTTCAGGCTTTGCAGAAGGTGGGGCCCACTTTTTTTTCTTACTTGGTTTTGGGGCAGAATGGAACATCATGCTGCCCCGTCATCTTTTTTTTCCAGTGTGCGTTTGAGGTGTCACTTTATTTTTGACATGTCAGCATGCTTTTGTTAATCAATGACACGTCACTGGATTTTTAACGGATTTTTAACAGAGGGACTAAATTGGGGTCAAAATGGTAAACAGTAGGGACCAAATCAGGGATTTATTGAGTTGAGGGACTAAGTCAGGGGTCCGTACGATAGTTGAGGGACCAAAATGGGGGTTTAACCTTTTCTTTTAGATATGCAATCTATTAAGAAATGCTTGCATGCTTCTAAAGCCAATGATACACTTTTGTGGCATAAGAGATATGGCCATTTTAATTTCAAAGCATTGAAATACATGCAAACTAATGAATTGATCAAAGACTTTCCAAAAGTGCATGTAACCAATGAAGTGTGTCAATGCTGCAAACTTGGAAAAATGCATCGACTATCATCTCTTGTCAACAAGGCATTTAGAGCTTGTGAAAAGCTAGAGCTTGTCCATACAGATATTTGTGGTCCCATGAAAGTTCCTTCTTTGGGCCAAAACAAGTATTTCATTCTATTCATTGATAATTTCAGTAGAATGACTTGGGTTTACTTTTTAAGTAACAAAGCTCAAGTGTTCTCAGTGTTTAAGAAGTTCAAGGCCTTGGTTGAAAACCAAAGTGGATGCAGAATTAAAAAGCTCATATCAGACAATGGTAAAGAATATACCTCTGCTGAGTTCAATAATTTTTGTGAAGAGGCCGGCATCCAACACCAACTTATAGTCAGCTATACTCTAGAGCAAAATGGAGTTTTTGAGAGAAAGAACAGGACAGTTATGGAAATGGCTAGGTGCATGATGTTAAAGAATAAGCTACCTCAGTCTTTTTGGGTTGAAGCTGTGTATATAGCAGTATATCTACTGAATGGTGTTTCCACTAAAGCTATCAAAGATAAAACGCCAATTGAAGCTTGGTAAGGCATGAAGCCTTCTGCAAATCATTTAAAAGTTTTTGATTCAGTATGTTATACTCATATTCCTGACATTAAAAGAGGAAAATTGGACCAGAAAGCAAATGTGGGAATTTTTGTGGGATATTCCACTCAGTCAAAAGGCTATAAAGTTTATGACATTCAGACCAAGAAGGTCAATGTTTGCAGAGATGTGACTTTTGATGAAGGAGCCTTTTGGAATTAGGAAGTAGAAAAAGTTGAAAAAACAGATGATGTGCAAAAAAATTTTGAAAGTTTAGCAAGCTCCAACATGCCTTCAAATACAGAAATTGTTGAAGTTAATGATGACTCTCCAATTTTGAAGACAAAGTCCTTGTCTGAAGTGTATAAGAGTTGTAATTTGACTATTTCAGAGCCATCAAGTTATGAAGTTGCTGCAAAACAAGATGTTTGGTTGCAGGCTATGCAAGAAGAGATAGCTATGATAGAGAAGAACAAAACCTAGTATCTCACAAAAAAGCCTCAAGACAAAAATGTTATTGGGGTAAAATGGGTTTACAGAACAAAATTGAATCCCAATGGGTCTGTTCATAAATACAAGGCCAAGTTGGTGGTCAAAGGTTATGCTCAAGAGCCAGGAGTTGATTATGGTGAGACTTTTGCACTAGTAGCCATGCATGATACAATTAAACTCCTTGTTGCTCTAGCTACAAATTTGGGCTGGAAAATCTATCATATGGATGTTAAATCAGCCTTCTTGAATGGAATCCTAGAGGAAGAAATTTATGTTGAACAACCTCAAGGTTCTGAAGTTGTAGGAAAAGAGGACTATGTGTATAGGCTTAACAAAGCCTTGTACGATCTGAAACAGGCACCAAGGGCCTGGTACAACAGAATTAATGATTATCTTCTACAACAAGATTTCAGGAAGAGCAAAAATGAGGCTACTTTATAGGTCAAGGGCCCTAATTTTGATTCTCAACTGATAGTGTCTTTATATGTTGATGATTTGCTGTTAACAGGTGGTAATGAGCACCTCTTGAATAATTTTAAGGTTGAAATGATGAAGGAGTTTGATATGCCAAATTTGGGTGAGATGAAATATTTCCTTGGAATGGAAATTCAGCAGTGCAAAAAGGGCATCTTTTTGTCACAAAGAAAATATGCACTTGATGTATTGAAGAAATTTGGAATGGAAGATTGCAAGACAGTGGCAACTCCCTTGGTTCTCAATGAAAAATATATGACTGATGATGGAAAAGAGAAGGCAAATTCTTCTCAGTACAGGAGCTTAATTGGCAGTCTACTATATTTAACAGCTTCAAGGCTAGATTTAATGTATTCAATGAGTCTTCTTTCTAGATTCATGTCCTCACCCAGTCATACTCATTTTTCAACAGCAAAACGAGTTCTCAAGTACCTAAAAGGAACTTTTGATTATGGTATATGGTATGAAATGGGTTGCAAAGGAAAACTTGAAGGTTATGTTGACAGTGATTAGGCTGGATGTGAAGATGATATGAAGAGCACAACTGGTTATGTCTTTTCTTTTGATTCTGGAGCATTTTCTTGGATTTCAAAGAAGCAAGATGTGGCAGAACAATCCACCACTGAAGTAGAATATGCTGCAGCATCTGCAGCTGCAAATCAAGCTGTATGGTTGAGGAAAATGCTGGTTGATTTGGGTTTTAATCAACACGAAGTGTGTGTTTTGAAGATTGATAATATGTTAGCAATTTCAATAGCTCAAAATCCAATTCAACATAGAAGAACAAAGCACATCAAGGTGAAATATCATGTCATCAGAAATTTCATCAAAGAAAAGGAAATCAGTTTGTAGCACTGTGATTCAGAAGAGTAGAATGCTGATATCCTGACCAAATCCCTTCCTAAGCCAAGATTTGAGAAGCTGAGAGAAAAGCTTGGAGTTACAAAGCCAAACACCAAGGAGGAGTGTTAGAAGTGCTGTTTGCATTGTAACTCTCCTCAATTAATGTGGTAGGTGTATTTAATAGTTGGTTGGGAGGTTAAGATGTGATATTCAAACTACAAAATGCAGATAAAAGAAAATGGTGCAGATTTGTCAACTCTGCAGAAAACATGTATTAAATGTAATTCTCTGTACGGTTGAGGGGATACTAAGCAATGTAATCCCCCTTTTTATTTAAGCTACACTTGTATGAAATATAAGTAGTAGAAAAAGATGAAATGAATGAGACAAAGGCTAGAAAAATGAAAATCCAGACCTGTATTTTTCATCAAAGTCTTTTGCTGAGTTCTTGTTCTTAAATCTTCTTCATCCAAAAATCCATCATGTTTGCTGGTGGAGGGTGAATGGAGAAAGTTGAAATCATCAAAAATCTTGGTTAGATGTCATTTCCTTTTACAATAGTTATAACTGTAGCTCTTGTTGAATGAATGCCAAGCTAAGGCCAAATCCTGAGTACTCAGTTGAGGTTCTCTTCATAATATTGATGATTAATCAATTTTAATTAATATCAATTATAAACCCAAAGGTGTGAGATTATTTGATTTTTTTTACACAAATTTTGTTGGTGTCTAGACCTAATGGTGGTTGATACTTGTTGGGAGGGATTCTTGGTTGGCAGCTTGTAGGAGTTTCTTGAGGTCCCATCTTCAACCAGAATTTTCTTAGTTTATAATATCTAGCTAGCCAAACTAACTCAGTTATGTTTATTTTCAATTTTGTAGGTTGAGATTTGCTTGACATCCAGTATCACAATTGCATCAGTTTCTTCTTTGAGTTTTCATCATTTTGGTCAAGTATCTTGATTTTATATCAAACTTTCTTTTGTAGATATTTATCATTTTGATTCTTTGCACAGATTATTCTAGGCTTTTTCTCCACTAGCCTTTCGTGGGATTATAAGCTTGCTTGATATCCAGTGTTCCAACTTGCTAAAGCTGCCATTGATTTCATATTTGCTGAAAATGGAGTAAGACAAGACTTTTAAGAGAGATTCCCAAATCAACCTCATAGAAGTTGGACTCATGAAAAATGATACTTCAAAGAGCATACTTACTTGTTCTAGCTCATTATAGTCCAGCAATGATATTGTTGTTCCAGTTCAAGAGTTGCAAGAACCTGAATTTCTAGTTTGAGACCAATTACAATTATGTTCTTGATACTAATTCCAAGCGACGATTTTACCATAGACAAATCTCTCTTGTTTTTCCCATGCATGATGACTGAACTAATGTAACAATTTTTCTTTTGAACAAAATTTTCTTGATTTTTTTGAAGAAAGGTACATAATTAAAAACATAAGTAATCAACTAATACGAGTTTGACCAAGTTAATATCTCCAATATCACCAAAATAACCAACACTCCGATCTACTAATGAAAATAAAATGAATATTGAAGCGTCAAGCAAAAAAAAAAAAAAAAAATAATGGTAGACATGAATGGTCAAGCAGAGAAGCATGCTAAACGGTACCGTTTTAGTAGAACAAAAGAGCCTATCCTATGCGACACCGTTTGCTTGCTACATCTACCTCTGAAAACGTGGGAAAAATACAAGGGGGTTGTTTTCAGGTTCCAGAAAGATTGCGAGGGATTCCAACGTACGACACATACGCCTTCCGTTTTTTGTTCAGTTTTCTTCTCTCTCCCGCCATTTGATCTCCCTAAACCCTAACGCCGACGGAGGAATCCTCATTCCGGCGACCATCACCTCGTACCAGTTTCAGTGCCATCTTCTCTGTATAGAACATAAGTTTGGACTTTAATGTGAACATCGTATCTGCAGTCAGATCAGATCCTGACGGCATTTCTGCTGTCGGATCACAATGTCTTGGGGATTGGGCTGGAAGCGGCCCTTGGAGATCTTCCGCTTGACGCTAAACTATGGGACGGAGGAATTTCATGACGATCTCAACCGCACACAGTCTTCATCGTCGGTGTCCTCTTCGTCATCTTCGTCGTCGTCATCTTCACCGCCAGTACAGCAACCGCAAGCGCTAGATCAGCAGGAACTTGGATTTAGGATCGACCTGGATTGGACATCGGGGGATGATGAGGAGCAGGTGGCGCTGAGGCTGCAGTCACAGTTGATGGTGGCGCTTCCCTTGCCGCAAGATGCGGTGGCTGTTGAGTTGAAAGAAAAGGAAGGGAATGCGGTGGAGGTGGAGATGAAGGTTGAGAAGAGAACGGAGACGTTGCGGGGTGTTATTGTGGCCAAAGCGGCAGGTTCTGGCCAGCAGTGTGACGGAATTGGCGTCTTTACCAGGTTGTTACGGTCGAATTTGGTGCCTTCTGGTGCTGCCGGTGAGGGGGGTGTGGCTGGCTGCGGTGAGCATTGGAGGACCGTGACTATGCTTCGTCTCTGCGGTTGCGGTTTGACGGTCAGTTTTGCTGTTGTTTTCCTTCTCATTCTGTTCTTTGTTATGGGATTCTATTCAATTATAAGGCTGTCCTTCGCATTCTCTTGTCCTTTGCATCCCTGCATTCCCTTTCTTTCTTCTTACTTTAACTGTAAAAAAGGAGAGAAATCAACGTTTTTGTTGTTAAAGGAAATGCTGTATTCTTGCTTTTCTGGCTCTGGTTTTTATGAGGGCGTTTTGAGGTGGCTCAATTACCAATACTTGAGAGACTGTCACATTTTACCCCCTTTGTCTTTTTACCAAATTGTATGTGATTGGAGTTAGTTGAACACAGGTATTGCCAGTTGAGGTAACTCAATTACCAGTACTTGAGAAACTGTACCTTGATAACAATAAGCTAACAACTTTGCCACCTGAGCTTGGTGAGCTGAAAAACTTGAAAGTACTCACAGCTGACAACAACATGCTGGTTTCAGTTCCTGGTAAGCATGGATTTGTGTCTCATATATTATTTCATTTCAAGTTCCTTTTAAGAAGAAAAATAACCTCTCTGCCTGATCATCTTCAAATTAATACATGTGCTTTATTTTTGTGGGGGTGTCATAAGCGGTGGAACTGAGACAGTGTGTCAAACTGATGGAACTGTCATTGGAACATAACAAACTTGTTCGGCCTCTTCTTAATTTCAGGTCACTTCATTGGCAATCAACATTTTTGTTAGGCTTGTAGATTCGTAATTTTCTTTGTCTAATGTTTTCTTCAGTTGGATGTCAGGGCTATGGCTGAATTACAGATTCTTAGACTATTTGGTAATCCTCTTGAATTTCTTCCTGACATTTTGCCACTGGACAAGCTTCGTCACTTGTCACTTGCAAATATCAGGATTGTGGCTGATGAAAATATAAGATCTTTAACTGTGCAAATAGAGGTACTGATCAATAAAATATTGTCAGCTGTTATTGGCCTATACTTTTAAGCAACAGATATGTAAGTTTAACCATTACGGTGTGGGGTGATCACAGATGGAGAATAGTTCATATTTTGGGACATCTAGACACAAGCTAAGTGCCTTCTTCTCTCTCATTTTCCGTTTTTCCTCTTGTCATCACCCTTTGCTAGCATCTGCCCTCGCAAAGATTATGCAAGACCAAGGGAACCGTGTAGTTGTTGGCAAAGATGAGAATGCAGTGAGGCAGCTCATTAGCATGATAAGTAGTGACAACCGCCATGTGGTATGTTAGTGATTCTTCTGATTATGGGCAACAGCAAACTTGTTTGTTTGTTTCTTTTAGGCACTGTCTTTACAGTTATTGCTTATATCAGGTTGAACAAGCATGCTCTGCTATATCAGCTCTTGCTGGAGATGTTTCTGTGGCATTAGAGTTGATGAAATGTGACATCATGCAACCCGTTGAAACAGTGCTGAAGACATTTTCCCAAGAAGAACTGATATCAGTGTTGCAAGTTGTTGTGACATTGGCTTTTGCATCTGATACTGTTGCTCAGAAGATGCTGACTAGGGATGTTTTCAGATCATTAAAATTCTTATGTGCCCACAAAAGCCCAGAGGCAAGTACTCAGATTTCCATGTTTGAAATTCTACAATTTATTTTTGTCACTAATATTGCATGATTATTGATTTTTGAAGTGCTTTAATTTTCATCAGGTGCAAAGATTGGCTTTGTTAGCAGTTGGAAATTTGGCCTTCTGCCTAGAGAATCGCCGTATCATGGTCACTTCTGAAAGTTTGAGGGAACTTCTAATGCGCTTGACTGTTGCACCTGAACAGTGTGTAAGCAAAGCTGCAGCCCGGGCTCTTGCAATTCTCGGTACATTTCTTGCAAATGATCTTTCACTTCAATCACAGATTTTTAGAGCATAACAAGTTCTCTTTGTTTTCTGACTTTGTAGGGGAAAATGAAAATTTGCGACGTGCTATAAGAGGGAGACAGGTTCCAAAACAAGGGCTACGAATACTCTCAATGGATGGAGGTGGTATGAAAGGTCTGGCAACTGTGCAGCTCCTAAAAGAAATTGAGAAGGGAACTGGAAAGCGGATACATGAGTTGTTTGACCTTATATGTGGCACATCAACTGGAGGCATGCTGGCTATGGCACTTGGTGTTAAGTTAATGACCTTGGATCAATGTGAAGAAATATACAAAAATCTTGGTGAGTTTACTGCATCATGAGATCCTGTCTGGCAGTCCTCTATTATTTATGGCTCAAATGTATTTATCTTTTCTCGATAATGATTGTGTAGGAAAACTTGTTTTTGCTGAATCTGTGCCAAAGGACAATGAAGCTGCAACTTGGAGGGAAAAGTTGGATCAGCTTTACAAAAGTTCGTCACAGAGTTTTAGAGTTGTTGTGCACGGATCTAAAGTATGTATTATTCTGTTTTTGAGATGATATTCATCCGTTTACATGCATGCGTGAGTGTTTGCTTCTTTCCTTTCCCCTTTAATTTTTCAGTATTAGCAGGCCTGCTTTTATGGTATCCTCGAAATTCTTGTAAAATGGGAATGTCTTATCTTTTTGCAAGATCTTTCTAGAGGTGTACTGTATTTTCATTTATTTAAGGGGTTACATATTCTATAAATTTTTTTGCTGAATTGCTGTAGCTAATACAACTATGATTATCTTATCTGTTTTCAATTTTCTGAGTATAGATACTTTTCAAATCAGATTGGTTACATCAAATAGGGCTAGAAAGTTTTACTTCTTAAAAAATATCACATGGCTTGGATAAGACTTATAACATATCATCTTGCAGCACAGTGCTGATCAGTTTGAGAGGTTGCTAAAGGAAATGTGTGCTGATGAGGATGGAGACCTTTTAATAGAGTCAGCAGTGAAAAACGTTCCCAAAGTTTTTGTTGTATCAACTTTGGTAAGCGTGATGCCAGCTCAACCTTTTATATTCCGCAACTATCAGGTTAGATACTAGGACTCCTTTGTCATTACTGTTTACCTATCATTGTGTTATGACCCATGGAGCACATTATAAGAATGATCTTGGTATACTGTATATATTATATGTTTATCTATATTTTGTTGTCTTAATGTTCAGTACCCTGCGGGAACACCAGAAGTGCCTTTTGCAATATCTGAAAGTTCAGGCATCACTGTTCTAGGATCTCCTACTACAGGTGCTCAGGTTGGTTACAAACGAAGTGCTTTTATTGGAAGTTCTAAGCATCAAATATGGCAAGCTATAAGAGCATCATCTGCTGCTCCATATTATCTTGATGATTTTTCGGATGGTACTTCTTCTTGTGCTTGTTTAGTTTATATATATTTTTTAAGATGATATGGAGCAAGTAGGCTTCTTTTCCTTTTTGTTAAATTTATTTATCCTTTCAATGATTTCTGTAGATATATTCCGCTGGCAAGATGGTGCTATAGTGGCAAACAATCCTACCATCTTTTCCATCCGAGAAGCACAACTTTTGTGGCCTGATACAAAAATTGACTGCTTGGTTTCAATTGGGTGCGGCTCTGTTCCTACAAAGGTTACATCTTACTCTGCTTGTCTACAATATGAAGTAACAAAAAACTGCCAGGATGCTTCTTTATATGTACAAAATTATAAATTATGTTTGTGGTTTATTTATTTATTATTATTTTTTTTAATCTCGTACATATATTAGATGGCAAAAAGTAGTGATTCCAGTTTCAACTTATCTTTCTCTTCTGATGATATCATACTTTTATCTTTTAATTATAATTATATCATATTGTAGGTACGAAAAGGTGGTTGGCGTTATCTAGATACTGGGCAAGTGCTGATTGAGAGTGCATGCAGTGTGGACAGAGTGGAGGAAGCTCTGAGCACATTGTTACCAATGCTCCCTGGAATCCAATATTTTCGGTTTAATCCAGGTACAGGCTTTGGAGTTATTTATAGTTTTCCATGTGAGCTAGATAATTAGAAGTTAGAACTTCGATGACCTCTATTAAGCACGGATATGGCTATGGGGTACAATATGATACAAATAGGGGGATACCTTGCTTCTAAAAAATAGGATATATATAAGGTGGGATACACCAAAATTTTTTTTTTTATATGCATAAATCTGTATCATTCAGATGCAATATGGGATATGTGGGGGTACGAAAGTTCCTGTGCTTCATGGGAAGATCTCCTGCATTAAACATTGGAGGTTTCTCGATAATTTTCTTTAAGCTTATCATCCTTAGGAATTTTATCTTCACAAGTGAAACAATTAGCATTTTCCTTTATTTTTCTATATGGTTGCTGCTACAGTTGATGAGCGTTGTGATATGGAGCTGGATGAGACTGATCCAACAGTCTGGCTGAAGTTAGAAGCTGCTTTTGAGGAATATATCAAAGACAATTCTGAGGCATTCAAGAATGTTTGTGAAAGGCTTCTTCTACCCTTTGCAAATGATGAGAAATGGGTGCAGAATTTGAAAACCCATCACCTTGCCAAGTCAAAGCCATCGCATGCAGGTAGTGGCCTTCATATCCCTTCAACTTTTTCTTCATGGATTCTCTTTAAGCTGAACCTCACAATTTCTTTGATATAATAGATGAGACAAGTCCTTCATTGGGTTGGAGGCGTAATGTGCTGCTAGTTGAAGCTTTACATAGCCCTGATTCTGGAAGGGCTGTGCACCATGCCCGAACACTGGAATCATTTTGTGCAAACCAAGGAATAAAGTTATCTCTTATGCATGGGATATCTGGGATCTCAAAGATGACACCTGGAACAGCATTTCCAACACCATTTACATCCCCTCTAATCACTGGAAGTTTCCCCTCAAGCCCGCTGCTATTCAGTCCTGATGTTGGCCCACACAGGCTCGGCCGTATTGACTTGGTCCCACCTTTAAGCTTGGATGGATTGCAATCTGGAAAGACAGCTACATCACCACCAAAGCCAAAGTCCCCTCCAGGTCGCAAGCAGCTTTCATTACCTGTCCGGTCAATTCATGAGAAGTTACAGAATCTACCCCAAGTTGGTGTTATACATTTGGCCCTTCAGCATGATACAGTTGGCTCAATATTAAGGTCTTAAATTCCCTCTGTCTTTTTCTGGTTTTCTTAGTTTCTACTACTCTAACAAGCTAGATGCTTATTTCTGTAGTTGGCAGAATGATGTATTTGTGGTCGCTGAACCTGGAGAACTTGCTGATAAGTTCCTGCAGAGTGTCAAGATTAGCATGTCATCAATTATGCAGAGTTCTGGTAGGAAGAATGCATTGAGTTTTGCCAATATATCAACTATTGCTGATTTGGTTTGTTTCAGACCATATTTCCAAGTTGGAAATGTTGTTCACCGCTACATAGGGCGCCAAACTCAAGTATGCAACCCATCCTGACTGTTTTCTTTTGGATTTTTTTGTGTTTACTACTTGGAAGTAAAAAAAATATAAACTATGGTTTTCATGTCATCTCTTAAAGGTCATGGAAGATGATCAAGAAATTGGAGCTTATATGTTCCGAAGAACAGTCCCTTCCATGCATATGACGCCTGAAGATGTTCGTTTGATGGTATGTATTTTTTTACTCTCGTTTGATTGACTTGTTTATTGTTTCTGTTGGAATGTATTTGGCTGATGCTTCATTCGTTTCTTGCACCATTCTAGGCTGGAGCTTGGAGGGATAGGATTATAATATGTACAGGAATGAACGGGCCTACACCGAATTTAATCAAGGCCTTTTTGGATTCTGGAGCCAAAGCTGTTATCTGTCCTTCCACTGCACCCCAAGAAGTTTCTCTGACCTCATACCACGGATCAGGGGAGTTCAATGTTCTAGAAAACGGGAGATTCGAGATTGGTGAGGAAGAGGCCGAGGATGAAGAAGCTGAACCTTCCAGTCCAATGAGTGACTGGGAAGATAGTGAAACTGAGAAAATTGGAGATCATTGTACAAGCTTTGGGGACAACAACGAAGAAGAATTGTCAAGTTTTGTCTGTCAATTATACGACTCATTGTTCCGGGAAGGTGCAACTGTTGATGTTGCCTTGCAAAAAGCTCTTGCATCACATCGGAAGCTGAGATATTCATGTCATCTACCCAAAATACAATAGCCTCTGTATGCTAACAATTTTATACATTCATAGTCAAGACCACCCAAAAGAAAGAGGAATTGATTTTAGAGAAAAAAATAATAATGAAAAGAGAATACATACGGGTAAGTTAAGGAATGGTTGCGAAGATACGAGGTACCTTTCAATTTTGAGGCGATAAGAGGAATAAAAAAAATATCCTCATGTTGTTTGCTATTCATTACATGAACGAGTATACATGCTTACAATTTCAGTGACAAATGGAGTATAGATTTAATTTTCCTTATACCTACGCCTGCTTGATTTACTTTGTTGCACCCTAAGGCAAAGTGCTGGAGATGCCATGAGTTATATGATAAGGGATTATCTTTTCTGATACATCGAATTGATAGCTATCAAGAAATAATTATGTAGTCTCATTCTATTTCAAAAATCACAGCCATTTCCTTAAAAAAATCCCCTTTTAGTTTTCAAAACTTTCAAATTTGATATTTCTAATATGAAGCTACAAGCTCCAAGGTGTTTGGCAGAAAATAAGTCCACCTTCCTGCCTTTCCACTAGATATGGTTTCAATCAAACCAGCATTAAACCTTACCTTTTCACTGATTGATCATTCCATCCGAAAAAAGTGAATTTCAGATGATTGATATAGCTTCATCATTCTTTAATTGTCCTTGAAAAAAACAGTGCCATATTTTTATAAGATTGAAATCAATGTTGTTTGATGCAAATTTATGACATTTTCTTTTCTCCAATTGCCCATTCCTACCTAAGTTGTAATAGTGGCCAAACATACAGCCTCTAGTTTGGAACAAAGAACTCTTCAATTTGCCAATACAAAAAATGAAGAATGCTTTACAAAGTAATTCTCTTTAACAAAGTGATATTTTCTATGAATGGTATCGAAGTTTTCATTAAAAGATCTTCACATCATTTTTTTTTTTTAAGATTGATCCCATGCCATGGTACTATAGCTCATTGTTATCTTTGGTACTTTCTCCTGTCACAGAATCAACATATCTACCACTTCTGTTTACAGATTCTGCAGCAGTTTTCTCATGATCTTTTGGCATTGCCAGAAACTCAAGAGCTGTTACAACATCTCCAATCAAAGGCCGGGAGTCAGCTTCTTCTTGGAGACACATTGCTGCAACTGCTAGAGCTTGATAAAGACCCTTCAGAGGGTACTTCTCTTCAAGCAGCGGATCTGCCATCATCTTGAACTTCTTCTTGTCCTTGAACAATGGTTCGGCCTGCAAAATAGAATGATATTGATTTCAATCACATTCCGTTTTTATGATTATTTCAGTCCTATACCAATTACCATATATGTTACCGAAAGCAGTAGGAGGTACATTGCTTGAACTCTATGAACATACCCAGTCAATCAAGTTTTGTTCTTCGGTTGGCATTTTAAAGTCAATAGCTCTCCTACCAGAGATTATCTCCAGGAACACAACGCCAAAACTGTACACATCAGACTTTGTTGTCAGTTTCCCAGTCATTGCATACTCAGGTGCACAGTAGCCGTAGGTCCCCATGACCCTTGTGGATACATGGTCCTTTCCTCCAGTTGGACCTAACTTGGCAAGGCCAAAATCAGAGAGTTTGGGATTGAAATCATCATCTAATAGTATATTTGATGCTTTAAAATCACGATAAATCACTGGTGGATCTGCAAAGTCATGCAAGTATTCTAGTCCTTTAGCTGCTCCTTCAGCTATTTTCATCCTAATATTCCAGTCCAATGGCTCTTTACCTGGAGGCAAATCTAAACAGCAAAGTACCATGGTCAGAGTCACTTGATTTGAATCAGGCATTTCGTATCAGAAATATGTAACTCAAGATTTCAACATCAGCATAAGGCATACCAAGAAGGTGATTTTCCAGAGAACCATTAGCCATGTATTCATAAACCAAAATTTTTTCATCCCCTTCCGCACAGTAACCAATCAGCTGAACAAGATTGGGGTGCTGAACCAGACTTAATGTCAGAACCTCTGAGAAGAACTCTCTACTTCCTTGCAGTCCATTCTTGTCAAGCTTCTTCACAGCTACCACCTGAAAAAGGAATTCAAGCATAAAATTATAAGATCATGGTAATTCATGAGTGCATTCCTTGTAAAAACAGCTCCAAAATAGAAAGAGACATACTTGATCAATGCTTTCAATATGTCCTCTGTACACTCTCCCAAATCCACCTTCCCCAATCATACAAGCAGGATTGAAGTTGTCAGTGGCAATCATCAGCTCTTCAAAGGTGAATGTACGAGCAAATACTTTTGGGTTTCCAATCTTTTGAATTTCTGCAGCAATAATCCTCTGCCTGGTACTACCTGCATGTTTGATAAAATGCCTCAATGAATACAGAGAGAAATCAGGGTACAGATTCCACTTCTCTTTACACAATCTCAGAATTTAATACACAATAAAAACCAGAAATGCGGATCAAGAAATTCAGGAAGATGTTCTCCTACCTATGTTCCTGACGAATGAAGCAAATGACTTCACATTATTGTTGTTACCGGTACATCGGTTGCCATACCCCCCACCGGCGTCCATTGCCGACTCACAACAAGAAAAGCAGCCCATCTTTCTTCCTCTTCCTTCTCTACTTTCCAAAGTCTATCAAAATTCTAAATGCAGAAGCTCAAAGACAGGATCTTTCTCAACCTGCAGGCACTAATAAAAATTATATACACCCAAAGAAGAAGGAAGGAAGGAGAAATCAATGGTATCCAAGAAACGATCCCCAAGTGTTGAAGGAAACTGAAAGCCATTAATATATAGTCCAACAATCTCCGGTATAATTTACTAAACATAGATGTTTTTGCAGAGACAACAGATTGAGAAGATAAGAGTTTGTGGAATCTGTTTAATCCTAACATACGCGAATTTGGAACAAATCCATTCCATAATTTGCCTTTCAAATTTAACAGACCAAAACCCAGAAAAGAAAAATGGTTAAAATGGAAAACTGATTCAATCTGTGCATGAAAACTGAAAATTTTCATTCCATAAATCCATGAAATCAATAAGACGCTGAAACAATCAAGTTTTTTCTTTGGGTTTTGGGCTAGGCCCATTTATGAGAGAATGAGCAATGTTATGGTGGTCCAAAAAAGTGGGGAAAGCAAACAAAGCACTAATTTTAATTTTGGGCCCAAGATAAGTCCAGCCCACCAGTGGTGTCCTAACTAAACCCCTGCTAAACCCAATAAAGAAACACAGAGAGAGAAAAAATGATAAGGACCTGTACGTCTCATCCTGTTGTAACTATTTATCAATTATTAATTTTAGTAAAATGATTAAATATTTTGTATTATAAATAATAATAATATTTATTATTAATTATTAAGTATTAGTTATTAACTATTAATTATATCTAAATAATGAATTAAAATAAGTAAAAATTTACATATACATAAATCGTATATATTACATTTATATAAAATTTTAATTATTTATTTTTTAATTGTTAATAATTAAAATTTCCCAACTTCTAATAATAATTCATTTCTCAACTAATTTGAGGCATGGGATTTAAATTCTACCCTCAACTAAAAAAAAAAAAATTCCTGTTTGAGTTCAAACCGTACTAGGGCACAACAGAAACCTATTTAAGGTGAGTTGTGTAATATTCTAAATTGGAGTTATCTTCTCCATAACAGCAAGGCAGTTGAGTCAAAACTAAAACTAAAAATACTCGAAAATTAAAAGACAGAAAAAAAAGGAAGAAAACCTATGTTACACCGTCAATGACGATCTACAGATCCTTGAGAAGCTTAATCACTAGAAATCCTGCAAAGAGCAAGGCTTTCCACACTTGTACGACAGCCGCCACCGCCACTGCCGCCGCTGTAATTCCATACCAATCTTCTCCTGTCTTCCATAGTCGGTTGTCGTCATATCCTTTTCTCTCAAAATGGGTTGCTCCGTTTCAAGGTCCTCTCTTCCTATCTTCTCCTCCGTGGAAGCTCTCGCAGTCCGCCACTCCTCTGTGGGGCAATGGTATCGTTTTCAGGAGGGTACAGGCTCTGAACCTTGATTTGATCATGGGACGGACAGGATTCCCGGCCAAGATAGAATTCGGGTTGGTGGTTTCGAACCATGGAGTTTTGGGTGGAGTATTGGCCAAGGAAGAGGGCGTTCGTGCGAGAGAGGGGTTTGTGGAGAGCTTCGTTAATTTGCCGAATTTGATTTCAATTAGTCGATTGGTTTCTGGCCCTTTTCTGGGATGGTAAGTTTCTCTCGTTGAATGGCTTTGGTTGATTATGCGATCTGTTCAAAGAATTACTCTGAGATGTTGTTCCTTTAATCCATTATAGCAATTTTGATTATGTTTGATGGACTACTTCTGTTTATTTTACCATGTGTACTTTTTTAAATAAATGGTTTAACAAAAGTGCTATGCAATGAGTATGGAAGTTGATGAATTGACTTTTATAATTATGTAGGATGATCACAAATGAGATGTATTCTTCTGCATTTGTGGGGTTGGTTCTCTCTGGGGCAACAGACTGGGTATGTAGCTGGTATATTTCTAATACTAAGGAGAGAAAAAAAATCCAGAATTGATATAATTGATAATTCAATTTTGTAACCTTTTTTTTTTTTTCATAGAGTAGCTAGATGGATATACAGCTAGAAAGATGAAAATCAATTATGTGGTCGGTTCCTATCTTGATCCTCTTGCTGACAAGGTAAAGTTACTTGATGCATTCAACCTACACCCGGTCATCAGAGCAAGAGTTTGGTTGTTAGTTTATTCTTCATCTTCTTGATACAGGTTCTTATTGGATGTGTTGCTTTGGCAATGGTTCATAACAATCTTTTGCATTGTAAGTATCCTGGCTTTCTGCAGGTTTTCTGCTACTGGTTACTAGTAAATCGATAAGCAAACAACTTCACTCACTCGTACTCTATTGCTCAGCAGGCAATTCTGGTCTTCTAATACCATTTACTGTTGATTAATTATTATAGAGGTTTTCCTTGTACCTGTCAGAATAGTGTGTTTTGCCATTGTATTGTGTACAGAATCTCTAGTGCTGTCTAGCTTTGAATTTTTGCCTCTGACTCTCAGGGTTCTAAATCTTTTAAATGTTCTTCAACTGTGCTGCTAGAGTTATGTGTACATATATCTCCCATCTGTATTTTGTCTGGGGGTTGGGCTTCATATTGGGGGTTATGACAGGTATAACCGTATAAACTACACATGCGTAAGACACCATTCTAATTCAGTTTTCTCTGTTGTAAAGCTGGACTTGTTGGAATCATTGTATTACGAGATATTGCTCTTATTGGGGGTGCAGCATACCTGAGAGCCAGTAGCTTGGGTTGGCAGGTGAAGTAGCTTGACCTAAACTTGATTATGGTGTATTTTTGTCCCAGTTGTTTCTTTGGTTTGCACTTAAGCCAGTTATTTAGCCAATCTCATATTTCATGTTTGTTAAACATTTGATTCAGTGGAGAAGTTGGTTTGATTTCATTAATCTTGATGGAACTCATCCGCAGAAGGTTGAGCCTCTCTTTATTAGCAAGGTGACATTCATTCTTCTATACCTCATTGTTTTTTCTTTGGTTTATTTTTCATAGTTAAGACATGGTTAGTATTCTTAATTGAGAAGGGTGAAAACTAGGAAAGGCTTGCTAGGGATGACAACCTTTTTAAATGGTAGTGTTAGTTTATGTTAGAGTTTTGCAATGTCCTTTAAAGGGTCAATACAATTTGGCAGGTTAACACTGTTTTTCAGTTGGCTTTGGTCGCGGCAGCTCTCCTTCAGCCAGAATTTGGAACACCAGAAACCCAATCATACATAACATACTTAAGGTAGTTGGCCAATACTACGGTGATTAAAAATTACACTTTCTTTACAAATTGCTAACCTGTTTATCTGTCTTTGCTGCAGTTGGTTAGTAGCTACAACAACAGTTGCTTCTACATTTGCATATGGAGCCCAAAACATGAGGAGACTTGCCTCTATCACAAGAAAATCCTAGCTTAAGCTTCTGAGTACAGTACTTTTTAACAACTAATGGATGCCCTCAAGTTTCAGGGAAATTTCAGATTCCCTTGCAGGGAGCAGTCATAGCTTTTGCAGTGGGAAAATATATTTAAGATTGATTTGCACGCAGTAGAGAATGGCATTGAGCTTTCCCAAGTTCATCTTACTGGACTGCCAAAGGTAAATGATCTAGAGGCATTGTCATTTGTATCCGGATTGAATGTACATATTCACGTGGCTGTGAAATGGCAACGGAAGGAAAATGATCACCATAGAAGGCAGACAATTTTGTAAACAGGCAATCCAACAAAGAAATAACACAACTATTTACTGGATTACCCATTTAGAGAGAAGCATTGTCTAAAAATATTTGCCAGTTTCTTCAAGTAAGAAATTGTCCGCAAGGATATATCATAAACAAGTTCATCTGATTACATCTCATCAGAAATTGCAATAAATAGCAACAACAATATGCTTCAAACTACAAAATTT